ATCTAAATAACGATAATAGCAAATTACAACCCATTAAAAAGGTAGGAATCCATGAGTCCAAATTGATATAAAAAATGGACAAATAATTGGTGGAAAGATAATTAATAAAGGTAGAAGGAATGATTGATTTAGAAACTTACTATTTCAAAAACATAATAGTAATAATTCAGCCAAGAAGCATCAATAAATACTAAAAACTAGTGGATGAAAGATTGATGAGGAAAGAGGTATTATGTAATCTCAAAATACCTCCTGACAAAACAGTAATGAAACAAATAGAAATCATGTGTCATCTGATAGGATGTAATATCATTTTAGTGACATTCCTACCAAAAGCACATAATCTTAATCTAATGAGGAGATATCAAGTATCCAGATTGAGAGATATTATACAAAATAACTGGTTTTATAATCTTCAAAAGAGTCAAGTTCATCTGAGTCAAGGAAAGATTGATATACTATTATAGTTCAAGGAGACTAAAGAGACAAGACAACTAAATGTAACATGTTATTCTGAACTAGATCCTTTTGCATTCTTGGAGCCATTATCAAACTTGAATAGGGCTAGTGTATTAGTTGATAGTAATGGATCAATGTTAATTTTCTGATTGTGATGGTGGTATTGTGATTATGTCCTTGCTTGTAGCAGTTATTGACTAAAGTTTTAGTATGGGCACTGGGGCATCATATGGCAATTTACTTACAACTTTTCAGGAAAAAAAGGTATTTGTATTATTGCTTAATAGTACAGAATTCTGTGCAAAATAAAATAGATTTCAGGTAAATTAGGGTGTGTATATAGCCAATCCCAAACAAATCACTTCTATATATACTGAGTGATTTCAGCCAGGGATTATCATATGGAATAGGTTTCTCAAAGAGCATGTGATTCTTGGTTTCATAGCTGCTAATCTCATCATTATACTTGCTCATATAAATCTTGGCTATTTTTTCTATTGTTTTCCTACTTTTTGTTGGAAAAAAAGATGTGCATAATTTTTCTCATTAATGTGCTAAAGTTATAGTAAATATAATTTAACTTAAAATGTTTAGATCCTGAGTGATCCAGAAAGACTTTATACATAATCTGAACTCACTGAACAACTACAACTAAATACTACTCCTGAAGTTTACTAAACAAGACTAACCTGTTCTTTCCTCTGTTCAGTATGTACTTAGAAATGAGAAAGGACCAGATTCCTGAGGAATCAAGATGTATATGGTGGTATGAATGTTGCTTCACTCACAGATATGAGTATAGAACACTTCACAAATTAAATCTCATTCTGAGTTGCCATTTTTTAGGTTGATGGAAATTTGATCTCAATATAAATTTTTTCTCTTTTCTGTTGTAAGTTAGGAAGCGAAGCTTTGTAAATTGTTACTCACATTCCCAACTAAACTATAGGCTGAAACAAGAAGTTGAAAATGGACTTAACAGGTAAAACAAGATAAAAAACTTGATTTTCACATTGATTTGCTGAAGGAAATACTCAAAAAAGTTGAAGTTCTTATTGGACTAAGTAAAAACAATGCATTAAAAACAAACAAACAAAAAACAAATAAAAGCCATAAAATTCAAAACCAAAAGTTAATTTATGTAATTAAAAAAAATTAAATTCTTTATTGTTTAAAGTATTACACTAATTTATATAATTTTAAGGAATGTAATTCTGTCACCCTGTTATGAAATTCATAGATAAAATCTGGTGTAATCTTGCCTAAAGAAATCCAGTAAGGTCTCATACTTCTGAATATGGATACTGAAAGCACTTCTTCTAGGTGGATGTAATAGCTTGCTAGCACTGTCATAACAAAGTACCACAGACTGGTGGCTTAAACAACAGAAGTTAATTTTCTCACAGTTCTGGAGGTTCAAAGTTCAAGATAAAAAGTGCCCGCAGGGCTGGGTTTTTTTGAGACCTCTGTCCTTGGCTTGCAAATGGCCAAACCTCTTGCTGTCTCTTCACATGGTCATCCCTCTTGTGCACATGTGGCCTGGTGTCTCTTCCTCCTCCTCCTCCTCCTCCTTTACATGGGTGCTTATTTAAAATTTTTTCAATTGCAGTTTACATTCAATATTATATTGTATTAGTCTCACCCTCTTCTTATAAGGACACTGGTCCTATTGGATTCAGGTCATACCCTAATGGTCTCTTCAGAGACTTTATCTTCAACTACAGTTACATTCATTAGAATTTTGGGGTAGGGGAAACACAGTTCAGTCCATAACAGGGCCCTAAATGCAAAAAATAAAAAATAAAAAAATTCTTGGATGTTATAAAACATTGATTTAAAAAACATAAAAATTGTTTCTTTCTGGAAATATTGATATCATAGTTTTCCTTTTCTTCCTCAATTTTTTTTCTCCAGCTCTCTCTCTCTTTTTCTAAGTATAATTTAGAAACATTAAAATACACCCTTTTTAGTGTGAAGTTCTGTGAGTTTGTAACCACTGCATTTAAGGAGGTTTTTGTAATCAATCTTGCAGGAAGGATGAAAACCAAAGGTTGTCTAAATGTCAGTTAATTTTTACGTGTGCGTGTGTGTGTGTGTGTGTGTGTGTGTGTGTGTGTTGGAAGGCTGACACACCCATAAGCAAAGTAAAGTCAAGAAACAAACCCAGGCAATGATTTAAAAGGTAAAGTAGGTAAAAACAAGTTTGTTTCCTAAGTGATCTGAGGGGAAGAAAACTGCATCATTTAAGTGCTGATATAACATTCCTTATTCACTGTACCTACCTTTACCAATCTAATCTCTGAAAAGAATATAATATTCAATTATCTTATATTTATCATGGCTTCCTGAATATCTCTTCTATATGTAAGGCTTATACCAGACATACACCTCTGTGAAGCTTTCCTACTCAAGATAAATTAACCCATAATGGATCCCCAATTAGGTGATGTGGAGGATTATTTTTAAACAATGTAGGAGAAAATTGTTACTTTATTTTTATTTATTTGTTTGTTATATTTTTTATTGATTTCAGAGAGGAAGGGAGAGGGAGAGAGAGAGACATCAATGATGTTAATCATTGATCAGCTGCCTCCTGCACGCCCCCTACTGGGGATTGAGACCGTAATCCAGGCATGTGCCCTTGACTGGAATCAAACAGGTCCGCAGGCCGAGGCTCTACCCACCCACTAGGGCTGTTACTTTAGAATTTACAGTTTAGATGGGAAAATAAGTTATGGCCTTATTTTCTTTCCTTCAGAATTCACCTTTTACCGTTGTAACGTTTTTTGGATGATTCTAAAATGTATTCTCTCATCTGAGCTATAGTCTTGGGCATCCCAGAAAACATAGCACCATGAATATCAGTATCCCCTTAAACATTTACAGCTATGTTCATCATCTTCCCCACTCCCTCCAAAATAGTTTGTCTTAGATTTTCTAGTTCTACCATTGCTGTATTTTAGGCTTCCAGATTCCAATCACTGGAATGCTTTTATTTCCCTCATTCTTTATCATCAATTATTTAGCAATCCTGACATATATCTGACTTTTTTTTTTTTAACAAGGTAATAGTTTCCTATTGTCCTTCTCTCTTTTCTTTTCTAGTGACACAATTTTCTAACATGCTATATACCATTCTTTATTGTCTGGTTCTTCCTGCTAGAACGTAAACTCCTTGATGGCAGAGATTTTTGTCTATTGTTTACTGCAGTATTCTCAACACCTGGTATAGTATTTGTTAGATAAACTGAGCCCTTACTTTGTGCCAGGCAGGCACTGGGCTCTTTGTCCCCAAACCTTATTATTCCAAATGTATATACAAATGTATATAGCCTATCTATATACATTTGGAATAATAAATTCAATATAAAATTCCAGACATTCATAATATCAAGGGCTCTCTATCTTGTAGCAAAACCTCCTGCTCCAAACTGGTCCCCTTGAAACTTATGTAGCTTTGTCTCCTCCGGCATTTGCTCAGATAAACTCCCTATAGAAATCTTCAGTCGCCGACTCTGAAATTCAGTGCAACTTCCACCTCTTTCACAAATCATTCCTCTTCTGCAGTATTTACCACATGGTTTGGGGGGCTCTTGGTCACATAATGCCTCATCTTATGTCCCACTCAATGTATCTTGCTTGGCACACAAAGGTTCAATAAATAGAAGCCATTATAATTTTCTTCCATTCCCACCTAGTGAGGGTCTGTAAGGCAAGCATCAGGGGTGCGTGATATTTGTATGTAATGTTCATGTGTTTAACTCCCTCAGCTTCCAGTCTGGTATTAAACACCTTTAAGAAGGTAACGTTTTAGAAAGGAAGAAAGCAACGTATATATAACGTAAACTAAACATACAAAATGTCTTAAATAAAATGAAAACGTCTGCTGTGGGAGTGCGCGGAGGGAGGCGAGAAGGGCGTCGCGGGAGGGCTTAGCGGGCGGCCAGAGGGCGCTCGGTTGGTTGTCGGCCCGAAGCCCTTTGGGCCCATTGCTCTCCTCACAGCGCCTCGGGCGGGCTCGCTTCCGCAGGGCCACGTGCCACTGTTTAGTTTAATCGCGCGTCGGGCCCACTGTAAACGGCTAATAACCGCCTTCTCCGACCAGGCCTCTACCGTCCATCTTCCTGCGGACGGGAGGGGCAAGGGCGCCAGGTGTAGCGCGAGTAAATCCAGGCCCCCGGTCCCAACAGTCAAGTTTTCAAAAAACCCGCGCGTGGCGCCCCAGGCTGCATCCGTTGGGAACGGCCCCAGAGTGCCTCCGCTCATCTCCCCTCCCAACCCCCTGCCAGCCAGGGCGGGAGGAGGTGTGAGGCTGCCGGCAGGCTCCGCACGTCG